TTTTCTTTTCTTTTCTTTTCTTTTCTTTTCTTTTCTTTTCTTTTCTTTCTCTTCTCTTCTCTTCTTCTTCTTTTTTTTTTTTTTCATTTTATTCACTCATCACAGACAGGTCTCTCATGAAGCCTAGGCAGCCCTCAAAAACACTTTGTCATATTGGGTTCTCTCAAACTCCTGATCTTCCTGCCTTCATCTTCCAAAGGCTGTGATCACAGGTGTATGGAGCCATGCTTGGAAGTTTTGTGCTTCTTAGAGCACATCAATTATATTTGGTGATTGCCTAATTCTAAACTCCGGGAGTCTGAGACTCCCTCTGCTCTCTAGGGGACCTTGGTTGTGGTGGGAAATACCATTTATTCAAATTCCATGCTTACCTGTGGGCACTCCCCAGACAAGGACATCAGTGGCACCAGCTACGTCAGGCTCTGAGCCAGCGTCTGCTGAAGCCTGCTGAGGCAGCACTCTACACAGACGCCTTGAATGAGGTGATTGATGACTTTATGACCCGGCTAGCCCAGATTCGGGCAGAGAGTGCATCAGGGGATCAGGTGCCAGACATGGCGCACCTTTTCTACTATCTTGCCTTGGAAGGTACCCTTACTGGGAGAGGCTGGGGAGCATGAATGGGTCCTCTGGCTCTGCCCTCTGTGACGGCCTCTGTACCTCATAGCCATCAGCTATATCCTGTTTGAGAAAAGGATTGGGTGCCTGAAGCCCTCCATCCCTGAGGATACTGCCACCTTCCTCAGATCTGTTGGACTCATGTTCCAGAACTCGGTCTATGTCACTTTCCTTCCCAAGTGGACTCGTCCTCTGCTGCCCTTTTGGAAGCGATACCTGAACGGCTGGGATAACATTTTCTCCTTTGGTGAGGTGTCCCAATCTGGGGCCAGGGAAGGAAGCTGACCCCTCCCCATGTCTTCCCTCGCACTACCTGCTTTTAGGGTGGTTTAAATTCACCCTCCTCTGTTTTCCATGGCCCTCACAGGGAAGAAGCTGATTGATCAAAAAGTCAAGAAGATTGAAGCCCAGCTACAGACAGCTGGGCCAGATGGGGTCCAGATATCCGGCTACCTGCACTTCCTGCTGACCAATGAATTGCTTAGTCCTGAGGAGGCCCTTGGCACCTTTCCTGAGCTGCTCTTGGCCGGGGTGGACACGGTACATCAGATAGGCTGACAGGGAGACGAGGGACTATCTGATTTTATCCTGTACCATTCCCACCACCCCCACCCTATTACCCGCTCCTGACCTCCCACCCCTATTCCCCAATCCTGACTTATGTCTCTCAATCTAGCTTCTTCCTTATCACTGTGGTTGTTTGTTTGCCCAGCTGATGCAAACAGGACCTTTTGTAGGGGGAATTCCATCAGCTTCTGGGCCCCTAACTCTCTCTCTCTCTCTCTCTCTCTCTCTCTCTCTGACAACTACGAGATTCCATCCCACAGGATGGAACTCTCATGTTGCTGCAACTTAGGAAGAGAATTAGAAACTTGTTTATATGCTCTTTCTATAACCTAGGGACCCATTTCTAGCATTTCTGAGGCAATGCTCCTTTTTATAGTCCCTTCTGTGGTTAAAATGCAATCTTCTTCCATACTGGCCTATATTACACCTGCCGATTCATGTTTACTATAAAGCCACCAGGAATCCTCATCTCTTTTTCTGTTATCCTGGTGGCAAGCCAGCCTTCCTGTACATTGTATCCATACCCACTCACAGACCCTTCTACCATGTAGCTAGCCTCTTCCTTAGAAATCTCCCTCCTACTTCATCTTCATCTCCCATTCTATCTCCTAGACATCCAACACACTGACCTGGGCCCTGTATCACCTTTCAAAGAACCCAGAGATCCAGAAGGCCTTGCATGAGGAAGTAACTGGTGTGGTGCCCCTTGGGAAGGTGCCTCAGCACAAGGATTTTGCCCACATGCCCCTGCTCAAAGCCGTGATTAAGGAGACCCTGCGGTAGGCCATGATTCCATGTGTATAGGGTCAATACGGGGCTTATAATCAGAAAGTGGGGACTGCCCGAGGCCAGAGGTTAAGGACAAGAGTGCTATGGGAAGAGAGTCAAAGATGAGTAGAACTCCTCTTCACCCAATCAGGAAGTAGACTTTCTTTTCCCTGCAGCCTCTACCCCGTGGTCCCCTCAAACTCCCGGATCATCACAGAAAAGGACACCGAACTCGATGGCTTCCTCTTCCCCAAGAATGTGAGTGGGGCGACAGTACCCAGGTACCCAGGAGCGCCTGCAGCCTTTGCTGATGGTCACACTGCCGTCTCCCTCCGTAGACCCAGTTTGTGTTATGTCACTATGTGGTGTCCCGGGATCCCAGTGTCTTTCCTGAGCCCGAGAGCTTCCAGCCTCAACGATGGCTGAAAAAGAGAGCGGCCGACACCTCCGGAATCCAACACCCATTCGGCTCTGTGCCCTTTGGCTATGGGGTTCGGTCTTGCCTGGGCCGCCGGATTGCAGAGCTGGAGATGCAGCTGCTGCTGTCAAGGGTGAGCAGGGATGTGGGGGGGGGGTTGGGGGGGGCAGGCGAGATGGAGGGATGCAGGGAGAGGAGAGGCGTGGAGGTCTAGGGTAGAAGCCTACAGAGGGAACAAGAATTGGAGATCAAGATTCCAGTGGCCCTGCCCTCTCTCCCTGCCAGCTGATGCAACAGTACGAGGTGGCCCTGGCTCCAGGGATGGGAGAAGTGAAGTCTGTGGCTCGCATTGTTCTGGTTCCCAGCAAGAAGGTGAGCCTGCGCTTTCTGCAGAGACAGCACTGAGCCGGGCCCCTGCCTCCGTGGGGCTTATCCCGAAGCTCTGGCACAGCAGTCCCTGGCCATTCTCATGTCACACATCTGGATGACAGACTCAACAGGGAAGCTCTGAGCCCTTCCCATAGACCCCAAATATCTGGCAGAACCTCTATGGAGCAGCACTCACTTAAGACAATAGAGCACCTCCTATCACATGACAGTCCTTGGGTACAATTTAAAATAAAATTAAAATACAAGTTTGGGGAGGGTCTTTGTTCTTCATTTTGATCACCCCACATCTGACCCTCCTCATGTGAGGAATGCCTTTTTTGCCCTGGACCCACTTCTTGGAGCCCAAGAGTACTGCATGCCTCCCTAACCTCAATGGCAGACCCATTATGGACCCCTCCCAAAAAGAGTACCATGTGACAGTTCCACTTCCGCTGTAGAGTGGAGAGGAGGAGAAGAGGAGGGGGGAGGGAAAAAGGAGGGTGGAGACAAGGAGGAGGGGGAAGAGAAGCAAGGTGGCTCAGTGGCTAAAATGCATGGTACACAGCCATGAAGACCTGAGTTCAAGTTCCCAGAACTTATCTAAAGCTCTACAAGGCAGGGACACTGGAGCCTGGACTCCCGGTACTGCAGTCCCAGGAGTTGGGAGGTAGCCACAGAAGCCCAAGAGGCTCCTCAACATGAGTAACACAACAACAACAAAAAAAAACCACGCCTCAAATGAGATAGACCCATGCCGGAGGTTATCCACAGATCTGCACTTGTGGGACTCTCCCACCTGCATGCACACACACAAACACCTTCCAGGGTGGCACGCTCATGCCTGCCTGCACACACAATAAAAGAAGTCAATGAAGAGGAATTTTAAAAGGCTGTAGAAATAGGAATCCACTTTTTCTGCACTGGACCGCTGGATCTGAGGGCCTACGACATCACAGGGGAGGGTAACAGCAGATGAAGAGACCCAGAATTGAACGAGATTAATTTCTTTCCACCTGGTGAATTGAGGTCCTGGTAAAAATTGCATCCAGTGTTACAGGATGCAGGTTATGTTTCCTGCAAACTCCCATTTGTGGGCTGGGGTTTCACCTACCATGTGAGTAATTAATAAACGCTTTCCTTGTCATTCTGTTACAAATCAAAGTTTAAAAGTCTGTTGGCAGAATAACATTCCATACACAAAGGAAAGGCCACTGGCAGCTTTTGTCAGTTGCAGGTTTTCCTTCAAGTCTTTGAATTCAGGAGACGCGAAGGAAGAGTTTGTCCAAGTTCATTTCAGGAACTAGCGTTTGAGTAAGCCTGCAACATCCAAGGTCGTGGCTTGCTCTTTTGTTTCTTTTTCCTTGAATGCTCATTTTCAAGGATCTGAACACAAGATCATCTGTTTGGGGGGAGGGGCCGCTGAGGGGACGGAACACTGCTCACTGGTGAGAGCTAAGGAGCCCCCCTAGGCAACAGTGTCAGGAGCACCCAGTCTAGCAGACAGCTCTAGACTCAAGGGCTGCTCAGTTTTGTCCTCCGGAAGCTCAGCAGTACTGGGAGAGTAGGATGGTGGATGGATGGTGGACGGCTTCTCAGTGTTGTTCTCGGCAGTACCAGGAGAGTGGGATGGTGGATGGCAGTGGTACAGTGGTAGCTCCCACAGAGAAAGAACAGCCAGGGCTCCTGGGAGCTGGAGACATGAGTGTACATGCTCCAGAAACCAAGCATTCCAGGCCCCAGGCTAAATCCATAGGCTGCATGCTCACTTGTCACCCTGAGCTCGGCCCTGATCCATGTGCAGGGAAAGGCGTAAGAAGGGACAGCGTACACAGATGATGCAAGGCTGATTACAGTGTCTCTGGTTCAGGGACATTCAGGCTGGACTCCCTTGTTCTTCATCTCATCATCCTGGTGCACTGGGAATTCCCAAAGGCTTCTGGGAGCATAGGTATAACAAGGACAATTAGGGAAGGTTGGAGAGCCTGTGAGAAAAAGAGGAAACGGTGACCAAATCGAGGAGGTGCCGTCCCAGAATCTCACCATCTACTGCCAACTGGGTGTAACGTCTGCCCTTCCTTTGGCAATACCCCTCCCCCGCAAGCAGGCATGGTACCAGGATTGTCTGCAATCCGACAGAGTCACTGAGATGAGCAGAAGGCAGGCATTCCCTCCTGTGTTAGTTCGTGCTGATGATGGCAATGCAGTCAAGGAAAGTTTGTTAGCTTGCTTTATTCTCAAAGAATTCCCAGAAAGTGGGAACTGAACAGAGAGAAGGCAAATAAGCCTTAGAGCTCAGGAGCCCCCCCCCCCCCCCATCCTTTGCAGCAGGACCTCCACGGCCTGAGCTGGAAATGAGGCAAAGAACTGGTCTGTAAAGCCTTCTTTTGACAGTTTCCGTGGGGCTGCTCAATTACGCATGGGCCACTGCCATCCTTGGGGTAGCCTATCTAGAGCTCTAGGAGCTCAGGGAGACCGAAGGACTAGCCCCATAGTTCACGGCAAGGCTTACCTGTACCAAGACAGAACCAGCAAATGGGGGTGGGAGAAGATGAGGGCCAAGTTCCCCTTCAAGTTCCAAGATTCTTTCATTGGTTTTCTGGTGAGGAAGTTGGCTTGGGGGTGAGGACTCAAGTACTCTCAGGCGCTGAGGGCATCGATGCCAGCTGGGCTGAGTACAAGTGCTTGAAGTATGTCAGAGAGGGAGACCACCCCCAGAAGATGCTGGGTCTCATCCACCAGCACTAGCCTGTGCACCTGTGGGGCCACAGTGTTCAGGGAGGGTCAGAGACTTTGGCTACAGCAGCTAATAGGGCCAGGCCCAAGAAGCAGGGAAAGCTTAATACAGCTCAAGGAGCAAAAGACATCTCCTGGGAACAGCTGGCCATGGCTTTGACCACTCAGCTGGCTGTAGATCTTGGCACAAGGGCCCAATAAACAGGACCAGACACCTACCGATGCAGATGCCAAAGCTTGGTCATGAAAGGGAAGGTAGGCCAAGTGCCCAGTATACAGGCATGGCAAGAGCTATGCAAAGAGTAATTAGGCCATCTGTGCTGAGGGCATGCCAGTCAGGGTGCAAGGTACCTGTTCCCGAGCAATCCTGTCAATGACTTCACCCAGGCTCTCGTGGGGCTGGCAAGAGAGAACTCCCTCCAGACACAGTGTTCTCTGCCTCAAAGCTTCTCCCACACTCATGTCTAGGTGGTTGTATGTTTGCTGGGCAGCCAGGTGCTGGGGCAGGGAGAAGAGTCATGAATTACTTCATCGCCCAGGCTGCAGCCTGGAGATTGCCCTCCGACACACTTGCAAAGGGTAGTCACAGATACTTCCTTGTACTGCAACCTCCCTACAGCATCCCCAGTCCCCAAAGACACTTACAATGACATCAAATCGGGAGTAGAGGCCCACGACCTGACCTGCAAGTGGGGATGGAGAAGGAAGACAGGGAAGAACATAGCTCAGAACCAGGATGCTCTTCAGGGGACATGAGGAAGTCTTTTGAAAGTCTTTAGTTCCCTGACAGTCCCCCAGGCTGCTGGCTTAGCCATGGGCCATCGGGTAAGCTTAGCATCACTGAGACACCTGACCTCAAGCCTCCTGCGAGCTGCAGTGAGAACATGGCACTGCCTGTTAAATATTCCAGCCTCACAGTGTACAGGCATTATGCCCTTGGTTTTAATTTCTGGTTCACAGGAAACAGGAACAGAAGAACAAGGCACAGCCACCTCCAGGAGGCAAATGGACAAGTCTGGAGATAGGATTTAAAAAATACATTTATTATTATTATTTCTGCATGAGGGGAGGGTGTTGGACCCCCTGGGGCTGGAGTTACAGATGATTATGAGCTGCCATGTGGGTGCTGAGAATTGAACCCAGGTCCTTTGGAAAGAGCACCCAGTACTCTTAGCCACTGAACCATTTTTTCTAGCCCAGGATTTTTTTTTAACCTTTTAAATTACACTTAGTTAATGTGTGAGTGTGCGTGTGTGTGTGTGTATGCAACACTCACGTATGTGTGTGTGTGTGTGTGTACATTTGAGTGTTACAGCACACATGTGTTGAGGTCAGAGGACAATCTTCAGGTCAGTTCTTTTCTTCTATAGTATGTGGGTCCCAGGGATCGAATGCAGGTTACCAGACTTGGCTGCGAATATCTTTACCTGCTGAGCCATCTCTATATTCTTGAATATAGGAAATATAGGAAAACTAATTCAGACTTTTCAATCGACTTGTGCTATGAAAACGAGAGGAAGGAGAACACAGTCTTAGGTTTAAGCAGATGTCAGGGACAAGTGAGAAATGGGAAAATGAGGATCAGGATTGGAGATTAGGTCGCGGCAAATTATTCATAGTTTTAAAAATAACTTCTCTCTTTTAAAAGTTACTTTAAGGGCCAGTGAGACGGCTCAGTTGGCACAAGTACTTGTCGCCAGTCCTGACAACCTGAATTTGATCCCTGGAACTCAGACAGTGGAAGGAGAGACCGAACCCCTGAAAGTTGTCTCCTGACCTCCCCGTATGCATGGTGGCATGTAACACCCACATAAACAAACAAACAAACAAACAAACAAAGCCTTTACATTCTACTTGTTACTATTGTATGTACGCATGCCACAGCATGCATATACAAGTGGAGGCCAGAGGAGGACGTTTCGGGAGTTGGTTCTCTCTCTCCTTCCACCTTGGTGTGTGTTCTGGGGATTGAATGTCGGTCGCCAGGCTCGACCGGCAAGTGCCTTTCCTGGCTGAACATTTCACCTGCAGAGTTATTCATGGTTGTGTTGGGTAGTATTTTTAGAGGTACAGACGGAAGCGTATAGGCGTGACATGATCCAACGTCTGTAATTTACCTACAGAGAAACGGTGAGTTGATCATGGCAATAGGCTGCTCTCTATCATTTCATTTTGCTTGAAAATTTTTATATTTAAGTAGAAGTTGGTAGTCCTTCGTAATATTCAGCTTCTTTCTGGCGAATGTAACTTTGAATTACCTCTTTTTAAATTCAGTAAATTCAGTGTAGTGTCTGTGTGTGTGTGTGTGTGGGGGGGGTGTTCTCACGTGTATGGGCATGTGAGTGTGTGTGCTTCTGCATGTGTGTATTTGGGTGTGGGTGAGTTCTCATACGAGTGGGTAGGCTCACACATGTATGAAGACCATGTTGGGTTGATGTCTGGTGTCTTCCTCTGTTGCTTTTCATTTTGTTTATTCGGGCAAGATCTCTCACTGAACCTGCTCCTGCAAGATCCAGCTAGTTTAGCCAGCCAG